TTATCATCGATTATTTAACTTATCATCGATTATTTAACTTATCATCAATTATTTAACTTATCATCGATTATTTAACTTATCATCGATTATTTAACATATCATCAATTATTTAACTTATCATCGATTATTTAACTTATCATCAATTATTTAACTTATCATCAATTATTTAAATCAATTATTTAACTTATCATCAATTATTTAACTTATCATCGATTATTTAACTTATCATCGATTATTTAACATATCATCAATTATTTAACTTATCATCGATTATTTAACTTATCATCAATTATTTAACTTATCATCGATTATTTAACTTATCATCAATTATTTAACTTATCATCGATTATTTAACTTATCATCGATTATTTAACTTATCATCAATTATTTAACTTATCATCGATTATTTAACTTATCATCAATTATTTAACTTATCATCGATTATTTAACTTATCATCGATTATTTAACTTATCATCAATTATTTAACTTATTTAAGTGAAGTGTTTATTGTTTAGTTATGTTGAAAACAAATGATGGTCTCAGGTTCTAATCTGGGTCTTTTTTCCCTCATTTAAAGCTGTATATAAATGTCTTAATAAGAATTATTATTCCAATCAACCCAACAGTAAATGAGTAGAGATAATCAAAGAAAGATCATTGCCAAATTTATAAAGACATAATGAAATGAAGTTTTACCTTCTAATTTATTTTTTTCTTCTTTTATTATATTTTCAACAGGTTCAACTATTTTTTCTTCTATTTCTTTTACAACTGGTTTAATGACTTCTTTTATCTCTTCATCTTTACTCACTTCTTCTGACTGTAATATAACACAGTATTTATGTTTAATTAACAATGGAGGTAGCTTTATTCACTTCCTCTAACTGTGATCAGACAGAATTTCATAAACCACTTTTTTCATCCAATCAGCATTGTTTGAATTTTCTATGAGGTGGCCATTTATGAAGAATTTCTCAATCATGTGACATTTTGACTGACAGCTAGCATTGGGTTCTTAGTAAATTGGATGCTATGAAGTAACATTTGCCCCTCTGTGTAGACTTCCTTGCATATTGAAGACATGCTATTCAGTATGGAATGAGGGAAATTATGACAGGACATCATGGAGTGACAACTGCTGTACAAGAACTACATCTATCAATTTATCTAGAAATGTCAGCCCACCTCTTGAGTGTTGGAACTATTTTTATTTCGAGGCTTTTTAGGACTGGCCTGTGTTTTCGGTTTATTTTCATACACCATAGGTTGAAATTCCTCTGCATCTGGGCTCAATTTTTTACTTTTACTTTTCTTAGTATTTTTATTAGGTGCAGGCTCCTGTAAATAAAAAATATTTTAATATCAATATCAGCTTACTATTTATATATTTCAAACTGTCGGGGTTCATTTAACATACACAGCCTGTAAGCACACGGGGTCTCTGTTTATTGTCCCATCAAACCACTAGACGATTTTTCCATGTCATCACTGAATCAATGAAAGAGGAAAACCAGGTTGTGAGAATACGAAGGTGAACTTACTTGAGCAGGTTTTATATCAGTCTTCTCTTCTTCCTTATTTTCAGATTTATTTTTAGATTTTTTACTAGCTGGTGCTGGGGCAGGTTTATCATCTGTTTTAACCTCAGGTTGGTCTGGGGTAGGTTCTGGTGGGGTAGGGACAACATCTTCTACAGGTGGTTCCTCAGCTACTGTCTCACCTTCTGATTTCTACAATTCATAAAATATAATGTTATCAATATAACAATTGAAATATCCTGCTATTCTATATCAACAACAAGGGAAGATTATGTCATGCAGTGTGCAATGAGAGAAATTTCACCAAGACAGTTACATCAGTCTACCATTAATTGCCTTTGCCCTCACCATTACCTTGGATTGTCTCTTTTTCTTGGATGTTCTCTGTTCCTGGGGAGTTTCTTGTTGAGCAGTTGGAACCTCGGCTGGTATATCTTCTGGTTTAGAATCAAATCCAATATCTTCAAGAGTCAGTTTATTCTCCCCTTCTGATTCTTTCTCTCTTTCTTCTCTCTTACTTCTTATTTTATCTTTCTTCTTGGATATAGCCACACTCCATCCCACTGTAAACAAACAATCACCAGTCATCTGGGGTGTAACAAGACATCAGTAGGGACAAAACTATACATATTTCTAGCTAACTATAGAAGGTTATAATTTGTTTGATCAGGCATAAATTGATATGATTGTATCTCATGATGTTAACCTGTATAATAGTGGTGGTATCCTTCATGAACTCTTTTCAAAACACCTCTAAATAGCATCTATGGAGGAGTCAACTACTATACAACTTATACTCTCAATTTTGTCATACTTTGGACCAGATTTGTCTTGCTTGTAAGCATTTTTATTGCTATAGGGATAGACAAAGGTTGATCTCACTTTATTGATGCAACCCATTTAGACAAAAGTCTAATATTCAATACGTCCCAATAAACTAGAAATTATATACAAGATTACATAAGGTAGAAAAACCATGGAAAATTCCATAAAACATATATATATTTACAGTGTAACATGGATGAGGTAAGAAATATAAAAAACACTTTGTTTTTCTGCTAAACTACAAATTCTAGATTATGTTATATACTTACTATCATCTTGTATAACTTCCTCTTGTTTTAGTTTTAGTTTCTCACTTACAGTTCTACTAGATTTCTCTGATTTCTTGTTCTAATTTAAAATAAAAGAGTAAATTATGTAAATAAGATGTAAATAAGATGTAAATTATGTAAATAAGATGTAAAGGTAATATGTTACCCAAACACGAAATAGAAATTAACATCTGGTTAATACATTTCTAGTTTTATTATACATCACGTTACAGATCAATAAAAATAACGTGTAAAACTGACACCTGGTGAGCTGTATTATCTTCATATATGATATAGTCTAGTCTAGTCTATACAACAACTTAATAAATTACTCTCCTATTGTTCTTAATCTAACTGTCAGACAGAGCTAATGCTGTTCTTAATCTAACTGTCAGACAGAGCTAATGCTGTCCTTAATCTGTCAGACAGCTAATGCTGTTCTTAATCTAACTGTCAGACAGAGCTAATGCTGTTCTTAATCTAACTGTCAGACAGAGCTAATGCTGTTCTTAATCTAACTGTCAGAGCTAATGCTGTTCTTAATCTAACTGTCAGACAGAGCTAATGCTGTTCTTAATCTAACTGTCAGAGCTAATGCTGTTCTTAATCTAACTGTCAGAGCTAATGCTGTTCTTAATCTAACTGTCAGAGCTAATTCTTAACCTAACTGTCAGAGCTAATGTTGTTCTTAATCTAACTGTCAGAGCTAATGCTGTTCTTAATCTAACTGTCAGAGCTAATGCTGTTCTTAATCTAACTGTCAGACAGAGCTAATGCTGTTCTTAATCTGTCAGACAGCTAATGCTGTTCTTAATCTAACTGTCAGACAGAGCTAATGCTGTTCTTAATCTAACTGTCAGACAGAGCTAATGCTGTTCTTAATCTAACTGTCAGAGCTAATGCTGTTCTTAATCTAACTGTCAGAGCTAATGCTGTTCTTAATCTAACTGTCAGAGCTAATTCTTAACCTAACTGTCAGAGCTAATGTTGTTCTTAATCTAACTGTCAGAGCTAATGCTGTTCTTAATCTAACTGTCAGAGCTAATGAAATGAAATCATTTTGAGTCTTGCTGTAGTTGAGCTAATTAAAATAAATTCAAACCAGGACATCATGTCATGTTAATCTAACAGAGTGTCATGTTAAAGATCTGACAAAACTGAACTTTTTTTTAAATCTTTTCACTTTCCAAGCTGTTGACCATATATATATTGATTATAACTAATAATTCAAGAGATTTACTATGGAGTATACATATATCTTGTGTTAATATATATCTTGGGATAATATAATATAATATACCAGTATATATAAATTAATATTTCAATCAATCTGATTCTAATTATATAACTAATTCATATCCAGAACATTTATAGACCTACATTTCATTACCATATATATATATATATATATATTGATATTATAGGAATGTCATATTACATATATCACTGTTTACTAAAAGTCTGTATAAATTAATTAATGAAGTAAAATACATATGAATCTATAATATATAAAAGTATGTATCAAACCTGTTACATATCTATATATAATAAATATTATAACACTGATATATACCAATTGATATCATATAATATATTTACTGTTTATTTACAGAGTTTTACATCCTACGGTTTTGTACTTTATTAAGAAGACAAGAGCTTTATATCCTACTGTTATGTTCTTTAACAAGCTAACTGAGTTTTACATTCTATTATTTTGTAATTTAACAGAGTTTTACATCTTAATAGTCGGTAGTTTAGCAGAGATTTACACTCTACTGTTCTGTAATTTAACAGAGCTTTACATAGTACAGTTCTGTACTTAAACAGGGTCCCCGACACATATAAAAAGTTAAGGAACCTCACAATCCACTTAACTTATAATAATATTACCTTTTTCTCATTAGTTGGTGATTTGGGTTTATTACTGGTGTTTTGTCGTGAAGATTTCGGTGTCAATGTTTTAGGTGTTTCTTCTTTTACCTGAACAACATGACCATTGGTCTGTCCTTTACCCTAAATCCAAATCAAACAAATCAAAATCATTAGAAATCAAAAAGTTTTCAAAACCAGTAAGAAAAGAATTGTACGAGACAACAGAATCAGAGCAACTCAGACCAACTTTCAAAGAGAATTAAACAGCTTAAATCAGGTCAATGAAACATTAATCAGAATCTTATATAAAGTTTTCCACTAGTTAACTTATTCTAATCTCATAGCCTACAAAGTAATATGTTAGAAACAAAAATATTCTACAATACCCAGAAGTAAATAAAACTTTGTAAATGTTTAAACTGTTGAAATGCTGATACTTGACAAAGTGTTGTATGTGTATGAGTTTACTTCCATTAGTATTGGCATTGCCAGGTTGGAGATCAACTTCTACAAGCTTCTACTGTATAACCAAATAAAGATTCATACAAAACAAAATGCCATAAATCAAAAATATGTAAAGCATTAAAGAAAATCTGAAACCAACCTTAGTTTTTTTAGTTTTCTTCTGGTTTTTCTTATCTTCTGAGAAATGAAAACTGGGAGGTTGGACTGGGGATCGAAATCCAAACGCAAAAACAAGAAAAGCACAAATCAAAACCCCAATTACAGGCAATGCTACATGAATAGACATTACCTCCATAATTTCCATCATGAATTTGAAAGAATTAACTGAAAAAGTTTAGAGTTAAACGTAAAAATATGGAAAAATAGTCAAATGAATTCACAACATAGGTGCTTGGGTAGTTTTAGAGCTTCATGCTGACGTCGCCTGCTGCTTACGTCATCACTTTACGTGTTCTTCAAAACTGATTATTTTACTTTTTTCTCTCCGATTTATATTTTATCAAATTTATTCCGCAAAGTCTTTTCTTCTCAAAATGAAGAAAAAATATCAGCATCAATTTAAAAAAGTATTTTTTGTACAAAATTTGTACGCCCATATTTGTCCATGACGTCATCGGTTTATGTTTCTAATGGCGTCGGAAGGAAAGAAATTTGTCTTAGTCATCGACAAACTCCACGAAATCTAAAGGTAATTCTCAAATTTTCCAATTTTCGATTGTGGCAACGGTTGAAACAAACCACGTTCTAAATGTTGCAATGAATTGAAATAGACATATTTCCACGTTTGTCCAGCTTTCCTGGGTATTTCAGTCCAAACTGCGTTGTTTACGTTTTATGATGGTGTCACCCAGCTGTAAGTATTTTGGCATTTCGTCAGAATGTAACATACTTTTCTCAAGTAAATTGTTCTATTGGCGATTGTTGGATTGTGTGAATAGGTTTTAATCATTATATCTAGTTGTCAACTCTTTCTTGTGTTCAAATGGAATGAATACTATAAATAGTAAAGCTCTAATTGAGATTTGGTTGTATAATGATATTGATAAGGAATAAGGATAAGTATGAAATGATTTGTATAACCTCAGTCTAAATGAATTAAGACTACAATTTCTTAACAACTTTTCTACCACAATCTTTGTCTATTCACTATTGTTGTAATAAAAGATTCTTGAATTATAATGAATTGTTGGATAGTATAATCCATGAGGCAAGCTATCATATTGCTAACCCCTAACCCTAACCCTAGCTATCATATTGCTAACCCCTAACCCTAACCCTAGCTATCATATTGCTAACCCCTAACCCTAGCCCTAGCTATCATATTGCTAACCCCTAACCCTAGCTATCATATTGCTAACCCTAACCCTAACTATCATATTGCTAACCCCTAACCCTAGCCCTAGCTATCATATTGCTAACCCCTAACCCTAACCCTAGCTATCATATTGCTAACCCTAACCCTAGCTATCATATTGCTAACCCCTAACCCTAGCCCTAGCTATCATATTGCTAACCCCTAACCCTAACCCTAGCTATCATATTGCTAACCCCTAACCCTAGCTATCATATTGCTAACCCCTAACCCTAACCCTAGCTATCATATTGCTAACCCTAACCCTAGCTATCATATTGCTCTAGCAATCCCACAATTTGTTGTGTTTTCAAGAAACTAATCCTACATGACACTCTTTGACTGGTTAAAATTAGTGCTCTTAAAAGTATTAAATTACAATGTAGACGAAAATTTGATATCCCAGTGATATTTTAGAGTTAAGTAATATTTGATTTGATATCCCAGTGATATTTTAGAGTTAAGTAATATTTGATTTGATATCCCAGTGATATTTTAGAGTTAAGTAATATTTGATTTGATATCCCAGTGATATTTTAGAGTTAAGTAATATTTGATTTGATATCCCAGTGATACTTTAGAGTTAAGTAATATTTGATTTGATATCCCAGTGATATTTTAGAGTTAAGTAATATTTGATTTGATATCCCAGTGATATTTTAGAGTTAAGTAATATTTGATTTGATATCCCAGTGATATTTTAGAGTTAAGTAATATTTGATTTGATATCCCAGTGATACTTTAGAGTTAAGTAATATTTGATTTGATATCCCAGTGATATTTTAGAGTTAAGTAATATTTGATTTGATATCCCAGTGATATTTTAGAGTTAAGTAATATTTGATTTGATATCCCAGTGATATTTTAGAGTTAAGTAATATTTGATTTGATATCCCAGTGATATTTTAGAGTTAAGTAATATTTGATTTGATATCCCAGTGATATTTTAGAGTTAAGTAATATTTGATTTGATATCCCAGTGATATTTTAGAGTTAAGTAATATTTGATTTGATATCCCAGTGATATTTTAGAGTTAAGTAATATTTGATTTGGTTTCTTTGAGAACAAACTTTATTTTGATTACAGGAATATTGTGAAAGAAGGAAAAAATAAAAATATTAAAATGGCGCGGGATGAGGAAGAAGGAGATGAAATCCACAATTCTTTTAAAAAATTAAAGATTGATCCGGAATGGTGAGTTTTAAACTGTCTTACTATAAACGTTGATTACTATCGGAGTGAACTATATAGATTTTTAATGGGATAAACATTTGGAAAAACTGATAATTATAAATGAACTGTTTTAATAACTATTTGTTGATGTTTTGTTAATTTTTAATTACAGGGAGAAAAATGAAGTGACTGAAAGGGAAGAGAATGATTGTATTGATATCAACAATATTTGGTTAGGGTGAGTATTATTTACATTGCTCGGCTAATTAATAATAAATAAATATAGGCCTTTCATTAATACTACAGTCAATTGGACTTTATTTCGAAGTAGAGAAAGATTAATATCTTTAACAATCTTCAATGTCTCAATAATAAATAGTTTGTTTGTTATTTTATATTATATTTTCTACCTTGTAGGGGTTCTTCAACATCAACTTGTAAACAGAAAGATTCATCAACAAAACGTCCAAAACATCGAGTTTCTCCGAGCCGTAGATCAGAACCATACCCTGGTGACTGGGGTTTATCATTTGAACGATTATGTTTACGGAAAGAAAAATGCAATAAAAAAATGTGTTCATGTAAATTTGAGAAAAGTAAGCATGCTTCCACATTGTCTGATAAACAATTTAATTTTGGGAGTCCACGTAAATTAATTCAGGATGCCAGATTAAAACTTCATCATCATCACGCACAAAAAGATCATCGCCAGATTATCCGTGCAGCGAAATTACAGATAAACGAAGCAAAGCGCCTTAAAGCTGAAAAAAATAAAATTAAAAAAGATACTTTAAGTCAGGTTCAAAATGATGGAAAAACTGAACCAATATTTGGAAGCTGTTCAACATTTAGTCCGAGAAACTTTAAAATAGTAGAAACCAAAACAGAACATGCTATTTCTGGGAAGAGTCCAAGTGAATTTTTTTTTACTGGACATAGAAATGTACAAACGTCTTCCAATTCACAGAGTTTGGACTTGGGTGGTGCTTTTGGAAAGCCCAGTACCTCGACTGATAATTCTAATAGAGTAGAGAAAAGTTGTTCTCAAGAAGCCACTATTGAAGATTTAAGTGTGAACGAGTTGGCAGGATATTTTGAAGATTTTGTTCACATCCCAAAGAAAATGTCTGTCATGGCAGAAATGATGTATACTTGAAAAATATATTCTGAAAAAATCTTTCTGTTTCTTGTTAGTAAGTGATTTTGATTGTATTTACCAGCTATTTCAGTCTTCATTCAATCAGATATATTGATATATTTATATAATACTGGTCTAAATTACTGAAGTCTGCATTTCATTATTAAACTAGACATGAACAAAAATTCACCTTTTTGTTTTTAAGGGATTTCTGATATAAAGTATTTAAGTGTAAATTTGATTCAATATCTGTTTTTGTCATCTTAATTCTGTTACTTAAGATTTTGTCAGTTTGCCAGTATTATAATGATCTCTTTACTTGCTTCAAGTTATCATTTTATTTTGTATTATTGAGCAAACTGATTCTCTTAGTTTGATATGAAATTAAAATATCTCAACAGTGTATAAGGGAGGTAATCCAATATTATGGGTGAATTAGACCACAATAATTTAAATATTATTTTTAAATGAAATAAATCTAATCTATATTTGAATTGATTATTGAGGGTATATTTCTATCATCCTCCACCATTGTGTAATTAATTTCTATTATGTTTTTTTTTTTTTCGATCAATTTGAGTTTTGTATTTCAAGCTCTAGATATCTTAGCTTTAGATTACAATGATTTTCTAATATTTATTTTGTTTTGATATATAATTGTGAAATAATTGATAATAGTGTTAATATAAAGGACAGTGTGTGGTACAGATGAATTCAGCTCTCTGTGTGTATTCGATATTGAAAGTTATGCTGTGTGATTTCTTAGAGTTTTTGTGCAGGTAGTTTTGTATTTTTGAGAGTTTTTTGTTGTTTATAAAACTCACTTGACTTGATAACAAGGTAATTAAAATTTTAAAAGTAATTAAGCGGATTTCATCTCCAAAAAATGTTCAGAAAAAAATGACACTCTGATTTTTTTTTTCACGTTCAGAATATCATCTCACCAGTTGAAGTGAGTTTTTGCTAAAAGAACTTTATTTTCATGAGAAATATACAGACACTGGGTGACTATAAGACTATTTTCACAATAATTGTGCAGTATTTATTTAATTGTTTGTGTATAACATTGTAATTAATTATTTATAATTTGATTGATTGTTTACTTTTTCTTCAACTTGTAAATAGATAAAGAAATTCTCACAGAATGAATTTTTTTTTTTTACAAGACCCAGATGATAATAATCTTACGGTGACTCTGTTTAAAGATAGGTTCCTTTATGAAAATAAAAAGTCTTATACTACTGAATAGAAAGTAGAGGTGTTCTTATGACAAAATACCAGTTTGTCTCGCATGTCTTTAATTAATTCATAATTAGCTAAATTAGAAGAGAATTACCAGCAGAATTCCAATGAGTTACTGATCAAGAAAGGTCAAAAAGTCTTTTTTTGTTATCCAGACTGTACAAACATGGACATTTATGATGGTTAAGAATACATGATAATTTATTAGAAACACCAATTAAACAAATAGTTTGCTTGATTGGACGCTAAAAAATAAGGAAACCCATCTTTAAGTTCTCTAATATCTAATGATCTAATATAGATACCTTGAGATTGGAAATTTTTGTGCAAAATATTTGAATTATTTTAAATACTCCCAATATCCGTCTATAAATCACGTCTGAGTAACGAGAAGGGCCAGATCTGTCTAGCTAGACAAGATCGTGGTGGTAGACACAATCTTGTAAATGTAGCTTGTTATACTTATAATAATAAATGTCAAAATGGTGGATTCGGAGACTGATGGCCCTCAAACCATTTCACTATAGGGAAATATATTTTCCCAGTTGTTTCCTTCCTTACCCTTATCTATCCCAGAGATTGAGGTTATTATATTTTTCAATAAATTCTTAGTGTCCGCCCCAGTATCTATGAGAAATATCCACATTAGATTACAGATAATTAATTACAGTTGGTGGTGATTTACAGATGGATTTGAGATTTGAGAAAGAAAATTACAATGATGTTCTAGTACAATTTTTACTTATACACACAAACCTAACCCTTATACACACAAACCTAACCCTTATACACACAAACCTAACCCTTATACACACAAACCTAACCCTTATATACACAAACCTAACCCTTATATACACAAACCTAACCCTTATACACACAAACCTTACCCCTATATACACAAACCTACCCTTAT